TTCAATTAATGTATCTTCTCGTCTATATGCGACGACATGATCGCGACGAATTGTTCGCGACGAATTGTCGTGCGACGAATTGATCGTGCGACGAATTGTCGTGCGACGAATTGTACTAGTGCCCTTCATGATAACTATGATAGCCAAATAAGATACCCTTTTCTGTACCTAATTTTAATTTGTCGTGTTTAATTTCCATTATCACAGCTAACACGTTTCGTGCATCGGTTGGACCACGATCAACGTCTGGCACTGGTACTAACTAAACAAATAGTTTTCAATATCTTAATAAATAAAAAAAGATTATTATTTAATAATTTACAGCATTGTCACCAACGTTAAAGTTGGCTAATTTTTGTTTTTTAGCTGTACTTTGTAAAAACTCATCAGCTTGTCGTTTTTGCCCTTCTCGTGCAACTTGTCGAACTGCATTAGTTCTTTTGATTCGATTATTAAGTGGACTTAATTTATCATTATTAATCTTATCTAAGTGTTGATTATCTTGTGCATTATCATTTTGTTCATCATCTTGTTCAGTATGATCTTGACCATTCTCATCTTCATCACTTTTATTTTGTGTATTATCATTTTGTCTATTATAATCCGCAGAGTCTTCTGTTTCGTGGTCACAACAGTCTTCATGAAATAAATTTGTATCAATTGCTGCTGAATTTAATTCATTTTGTACTTTCTTCTGAATTTATGCTGTCAAATATTGATGGATGCAATGATGTTGACGTTAAACCAACTTTCGGTTCATTGCCAAATAATACCAAGTATGGACTGTGTTTTAATATTCGATGATAACATGAATTTTTTTGAAACTGCACAAATCGTAAACTTTGAGACCATTTTGTACAGTTGTTTTCTCTCATCCACGACCCTAAATATAAAAAATTATGCATAGTGATGATTTTTTGTTGATCGACATACCTATTAATTGTTTTGTATCTTGATTGGACCGTTCAACAAATCCTTGTGACTGTGGATGACGAGGTTTTCCATGAACAATTTAAATCCTTTCCACATATTAGATAATTCTTCAATAATTTTTGCCACAAATTCGCGACCATTGTCAGATTGCAATATAATAGGAGCTCCGAATGTTGTAAATATGTCTAATAAATGAAATGCAACTTCTACTGCTGTTTTTGTTTTAAGTGGTCTTAAAATGCAAAATTTAGTAAAATGATCTTGATAATTTAAAATGAATTTAAAATGACCATCAGGACATGATTGCATATCTATTAAATCAACTTGACCACGTGCATTAAAATCATTTGATATTATTGGACGTAGAACTAATTTTGATGAATTTTTTGGTTTTGTACGTTTTAATTTACACTCATGACAACCGGAAATAAATAAAGTCACTTGTTTTTCTGTAATATTGGCATATTTCTTCTTTATTTCATTCAATGTTTATCAAATACCTCGATGCCCAAGTGTAACATGAATATTTTGGATAGTATCGAATATTTCTTCATACGGAATATAATATTTAATTACACCATTATCCGATGTACTCATGTTTTTGACCAGTTTCTGCTGATTACCAATGTTAATCACATCATAAGTTTTTAATAAGCAAATTTCTTGATCAGTTTTGTCGCTATAACGTTTTAATTTCGCATTATTTATTAAGTCAATAGTTTCGTTATAACGTTACAATGTAAATAGTGAATTATTTACTGATTCATTTTTAAAATTTAATATTTCAATATTAAATAGATCTTTCCATTTTGTATTATCAATAACTATCGATGATGATGTTGTTGTTGAAGAATATGCATTGGTTGATGACACAGTAGTTGTTAATACTGAAGCTATATCCGTTTTCTTCTTAATAGATTTGCCTTTGTGTATTTTATCAGGTGTCCTGCTGGTGAAGCCATCATTTTGTAAAAGTAATAGACGATAGATAAAATTTGCTATATACTTGAGCTTTGAAACAAGTGAATGATATTTTTTTTGTGTATTCATACGTTTATATACTTAATTATTCACTATTTAGATTACAGAAGTAACTTCGTCAATTGTGTCTATCGAAGTTGCAACTTCGACGGCCCGTGTAACTTCGATACGACATATATATGTGCATAACAGGAAAAGCATCTGGCATACTCAATATGAATCAATCTAATATTAATCTTCTTGATTTACCTAATGAAATATTACTTATTATTTTAAAAAAACTGGATAATATGGATGTACTTTATTCATTATTAGATGTTGATAATCAACGACTTGATATTATATTACAAGAAAATACTTTTTACTAATAATCTTAAGTTTGTAATAACAACATTAACTGATGATATTTTCTCAATTGCTGATCCAATATTAAATCGATTTTGCATAAATATCTTACCAAAAATTCATTACAATGTTAAATCTCTTATTCTTGATTCAATATCTATGGAAAAAATTCTTCTTGCTGGTGATTATCCTAATTTAACTCAACTTAAACTTTTCAATTTTAATGGAAAAATTGTTTCACGTTATTTTACATGTAAATAATTCAATATACTGATCAGAGTAAAAATTCAGATGAAAAATTCTTGTATAAATTAGATTAAATAATATCTATTTATTTTTTTTTATCTAGGTGAATCACCTTTTCGACATATTTTTCAAGAACAAATTGCAGATCTTATTCTTGTATTCGAAAAGAATTTTAATGCAATATCAAACAAACTTTATGCAACCAATTTATATGGATATGTTTTCAATTTCTTCGTAAATCTCAAACATTTATCTATTATTGGATTATTTCCATATCGTGTTCCATGTTTGAAATTTCGTCAATTACCTTTAACTATTTGTTTCCATTCAACTCTTTACAAATTATCCCTTTCTGTTCAAAATCTTGAAGATTGTTATGCTTTACTTGATGGTCGTCTTAAACAATTAACTACATTAATTCTTCATATTGTTCAACCAGAATATTCAGAATATTATTCATCAAATATCAATAATATGGTAAGTTTTATACTTTATTAGATTCGTCTTCATTTTATCTTAAAATAAAACTTATTGCGCATATTTGCAATTGATATATCTATTAGACATAGATTGTTTACTAATGAACAAGGAGGAAACGGCGAACTTCAAGAGACTTCAACAATAGGGACTTCAAATTTTCCAAAAGACTTCAAGTAACTTCATGAGATTCCGTGAGACTTCTAGGACTTCAACAGACTTCATCAAACTTCATGAGACTTCAGCCATGAAGTCTTCGCTGTTTTTCCCTTGCTACTGAATTACTTTTTATTTTAATTAACTATAATAAAACAGTTGTAAATTGAATGTTCATCTAGTGAGATAAACTGTTTAATTTTAATATGTTTTACATTTATTGATCCTATCACTTTTCTAATCAAAAGTGATATGTTTCAAAAATAAGATTAAAAATATTTATCATAAGATAATTTAAAGATGGATTTCAAAAAATTGACATGAGATGAAAGTTAGGATTAAAAGCAATAAACAAAGTAAAAGACTTCTAAATAATAGATGAGAATAGAAAGATTGTTAAATATAGGGGTGTGGGTGTGGGTGTAAATGTAACAGAACAGAATATCAATAACCACACCCACACTCACATCCACACCCACATCTACACCCAAACCCCAATAGTTAAAGAACGATCAAATATCACGAAAATGTCAAGCATGGTTTGCACTATTAGATCATAGAAAGAGAAAATTTCTATTATCTTTTTTTATAAGGAGTTAAAATACTTACGCCATTTTTTTTTGGTTTGCTCGAAGTACTTAGTAAGTAGCGTTATCGCTATTTTATAGTAGATCGCGATAAACAGAATTATTCGTCGGTGAATCTGAGTATTTTTTTTGTCCAAATGAAATGAGCATCTTGATTTATATTTACTTGTATTAATATAAAATAACAACATAGAAGTGAATATGCAAAAATAATGACACGGTTATCAAAGAATATATACATATGATCAAGGAAAATTTCACTCAGGTTCACACATTACATTTCAGAAATCGTATTAACATTTATGCATAGTAATTAGGTGATATCAACACATCAGTCAAGATGACAAGTTGATCGTCCGTAAATTTTTCCCGATGTTCATGCCATGAATCATAATGAGTACGATGAAATTCTAGTAATCCTTTTTTAACTGATTCCTAATTTAAAAAAAAGCATAATAAAGATCTTGAAATAAGTACTTAACTAACTTGAATAAGACCGGGAACATGTGAATGTTCACATAGACGAATCAATCAATCACGTACGTAGTCTCAAA